ACCAGTTAAAAGTAATGATGTGCAGTAACTTCTAGCAACCAATCAGTGAGTGGTAAGGATGTGCAGTAACCTCTAGCAACCAATCAGTGAGCATTAATGATGTGGAGTAACCTCTAGCAACCAATTACCAAGTAGAAATCATGTGCAGTAACCTCTAGCCAATCAATCAGCAAGCAAAAATGATGTGCAGCAACCTCTAGCAATCAGTCAGTGAGCAGTAATGATATGCTATAACCTCTGGCAACCAATCACAATCACTTTTTCTTCTCATGTTATATTATTGAAGTGCTCAGTAAACTGGTAGTTGTAATTTGGTTTTTAAAAAAATGGGCTGCTGAGTCTAAAATGCCTACGGCTATTTTTTGTCCCAGTCTGGACCTGGTCACTTTAGATTACCTGACTGAAGCTACATAATGCTACAGAGAAAAGACGTGCATACTGTTTGTTCATCTCATTCCATGTGTGTTGGGCTGTATTTGGTAACCTTTGCTATAGACAAGGCAGTAAGTTCACACTGTGCTGCTCATGCTCTACTTTTTTCAGTGCAGCATGTTACGACGTACTACACTGCATCATAAAGCACTTCAATGCATAAAGATGAATGAAACATCATTCTGTGACATTTCAATAAAGTTAAAATGAAAAAAGTAAATGGTGGGATGTGGCATTACAATGCATTGGCATTTTTCCCCTTACAGAGCCCTAAGGCAAAATACTATTGAGATCAAATTAGTGAAATGAGTGAAAAATAAATCGGTTGCTGTAAGCTGCACAAACTACACTTTTGGGGTTATATACTAAAACATAAAATATTACTCACAAACAGAGTGCATTCTATAATCCAGTGCAGTGAATCAGATTGCTGTATTGTATATATGACAAGCTATTCCTTAGAGTGTGGACATCAATTGGAAAGATATGGTAAAATGGCCACTCTCAACCTTCCGGGCGTGCTGATGTCAAGCGGTAATACCACCGATGCGTTTCGTCATTCCGTACAGTGCCTTCCTATGAACTTAACCCACACTTAAAGGAATAGCTTCTCATATATACAATACAGCCATCTGATTCAGTGCACTGGGTTATAGAGTGCAGTCTGCTTGTGAGTAATATTTTATGTTTTCGGAATAAAGGTCTGAATAGCTTCATACTACATTATGAGATCCCCTATTCTCTATATTTCCTGTTGAGTGGTTAAGCCTTTTCATGACTGTGAATCCCGGGAGGATTGAAGCATTCTATTTAACCCAGTGATCTGGGAAGGTGCTATTGACTCTCACCTTATGGTGGGTCATGGTTTGGAGGTAAGAGTCTGTAGATACAGGTGGTGGGACACAGAGGTGGATTGCATTTCACTGCCTGTGGAGAAGCACGGATTGCTCTGCTTTCTTGTGGATAAGCACGCATGCCACTATCATATGTATTGATTATAGTGGAATCACATTTACACTCAGAAGAGAGTTTTGTGGACTCTTACATAATACACAAGGACTAAGCACTTTTTCTTGTTACTGTCTGGACTGGATTGCACTGTAATATATATATATATATATATATATATATACACACAGGTGATATAAAAAAATCTACACCCCAGTTAAAATGTCAGGGTTCTATGATGTAAAAAAAATGAGACAACGATAAATCATTTCAGAACTTTTTCCACCTTTAATGTGACCTATAAACTGTATAACTCAAATGAAAAACAAACTGAAATCTTTTGGGGAGGGGGGGGGAAGTAAGCATAGAAAACCTAAATAACGTGGTTGCATAAGTGTGCACACCCTCTTATAACTGGGATGTAGCTGTGTTCCGAATTAAGCAATCAAATTAAAAATCATGTTAAATTGGAGTCAGTACACACTGACCATCATTTAAAGTGTCTCTGAATAACGCCATACAAATTTCAGCTGTTCTAGTAGGTCTTTTCTGACATTTTCTTAGTCGCATCCTACACCTAAAGCCATTGTCCACAGAGAGCTTCCAAAGCATCGGAGGGATCTCGCTGTTAAAAGGTATCAGTCAGGAGAAGGGTACAAAAGAATTTCTAAGGCATTAGATATACCATGGAACACATCATCAAGTGGAGAAAATTTGGAGCAACAGTGACATTACCAAGAACTGGACATCCCTCCAAAATTGATGAAAAACTGAGAAGAAAACTAGTCTGGGAGGCTGCCAGATGCCTACAGCAACATTAAAGGAGCTGCAGGAATATCTGGTAAGTACTGGCTGTGTGGTACGTGACAACAGTCTCCTGTATTCTTCATATGTCTGGGCTATGGGGAAGAGTGGCAAGACGGAAGCCTTTTCTTATGAAGAAAAACATCCAAGCATCGCTAAATTTTGCAAAAACACATTTGAATTCTCCCAAGATCATGTGGGAAAATGTGTTATGGTCTGATGAAACCAAGGTTGAACTTTTTGGCCATAATTCCAAAAGATATATTTGGCGCAAAAACAACACTGCACATCACCAATAGAACACCATACCCACAGAGAAGCATGGTGGTGGCAGCATCATACTTTGGGGCTGTTTTTCTTCAGCTGGAACTGAGGCCTTAGTCAAGGTAGAGGGAAATATGAACAGTTCCAAATACCAGTCAACATTGGCAAAAAACCTTCAGGCTTCTGCTAGAAAGCTGAACATGAAGAGGAACTTCATCTTTCAGCATGATAACGACCCAAAGCATACATCAAAATCAACAAAGGAATGGCTTCACCAGAAGATTAAAGTTTTGGAATAGCCCAGCCAGACCTGAATCCAATCGAAAATCTGTGGTGTGATCTGAAGAGGAACAGGAAATGCACAGGAATGCAAAGGAAATGCCCTCACAATCTGACAGATTTGGAGTGTTTTTGCAAGGAAGAGTGGGCAAATATTGACGAGTCAATATGTGCCATGCTGATAGACTCATACCCATAAATACTGAGTACTGTAATAAAATCAAATGGTGCTTCAACAAAGTATTAGTTTAAGGTTGTGCACACTTATGCAACCATATTATTATTAAGTTTATTTTTACTTCCCTTGACCTGAAAGATTTCAGTTTGTTGTTCAACTGAGTTGTACAGTTTATAGGTTACATTAAAGGTGGAAAACATTCTGAAATTATTTATCTTTTCTCATTTTTTTACATCACAGAAACCTGACATTTTAATAGGGGTGTGTAGACTTTTTATATCATATATATATATATATATATATATATATATATATATATATATATATAAAAAATGATATGATATAACATATACCCACATTGTATTGCCATCTGAATTTCAGGTATGGCTATTTTAGCATAGTTACATTGATCCAGCTTGGAACGATATGCTGTAAGTGTGAACTTTATGTGTCATAACTGGTTGCTCCCTCTTGAAGCTGGAAATCATTCTGGTAAATACTACGGTGATCTCCGCTAGTTTTTGGGTTCCATGCTTAGCAGCTGCCCTGCTGCTGAGCACAGGAGGTCACTCAGCACGGATGCTATTCAAAGAACACTGCATTTTGTCAATGAATGCAAAGAGTTCCTTGATTTGACGAGGTAGGGATCATGATGTCACCTCCTGCCCCTCTTTTACTGCTTTTTCTCTAGGAATATGTAAATAATTTAATGTCGATAGACTGGGCACAGGTGCACTTTGAGCTTAAAAATAGATCTTATAGCAGAACTTCACTCTCTCAATCAACATTCATTATATTCAATCCTTATGCTACTAACATTAGTAAATAGATAGGAAAGTATATCATATTTGCTTGTTTTAAACTTTTTTTTACCTTTCTTCAGTTACTTCCTGGTTTCCAGGCCTAGGCAAATTATGTCATACATTCCAGGATTCTTCAGGAGGGAGGGGGGTTCCTTAACTAAGCACACCCTCCTTCCTGCATGCATTAGCTAATGGTAGATGGATTCCAGGAAGTAAACTCTACATGAATCATCTACCCTTACTCAAGATGGCTATGGACAAAAATGATAGGGGGTGTTTTTCAAGGGGATTTCTTGAAAAAATAAAACATGGAGACATGGACGGGTGAGTATGTTTGCTTTTAATATTAAAAATGAATTAAATAGTTTTTGGGTTTGTGGTGCTCAGATACCATGTAGTTCTGCTTTAAGCGGGTCATCGATGGATCAAAATTCAGCTGGTTCAGCTGGGACCTGCTGAATTTTGATCCATCTGTGAGCAGGCTGGTTATACAGAGGTGAATCTCTCAATTGACTTTTGTACAGCCATCCTGTTGGAAAAGGTTTGCTTGATCAGTGCTGCCGGCTACAGCCAGTGGTGCTGATTAATGTTTTCGGACAATGGGGAAGTCTCCCTGCTGTCAGAATACAGTAGCTCCACTGGAGGGATTCCCCCATCCACTTCAAATGTGTGGACAGGGGAATTGATTATTGAACTGGTTGAACGAAAGAAAATGAATAATGTATGGCCCGCAGATTTGATGTAGAAAGTGCTCAATATTTCTAACAGAAATTTCCCAATTTGTGATCTGATTGGCTGTCCAAGGTAGCTCCTACATTTTCCTTTGTTGCTTTGTTTTCTTATATAAATAAAACCCTTGAAAGATCAGAAAATGTATACTTTACACACTAATTATACACCTTATTATAAAGCCGCATTGCTTCCTTCTATTTCTTTTGTTACCCTAGACTCCAGTTACATGAGTAAAAGAATGTATAATCAGCTTATCCAAGGTCAGATTTAACCAGGCATATTACTGCTTGTACACATAAGAGATAAAGTTGCTGAGGTAATGACTAGCCAATAGGCATTTGCTAATATTCTGCCTGTCGCTGAGTGTTTTGTGTGACAACAATCCCACTCGTGTCAATAATTAACTGCATATGCACTTACAAAAATGCTTCTGTGCTACAAAGTTGTCTGGCATTGATATGAATCTGCTAGACAGCTTGATTGGACAATTTACTATATTCCAGACAATCCAATTTCATACAAAGCAAAACAGACATAACCCAAAGTCTAACTCACCTGCTTCTTATCAGAGTGGGGTATGTTTTCAGGAGAAAATCTGAAATATTTCGCTCTGTGAGGTCCTGGAGAATCTCTGAGCCGGGCTGAATTCTCTGACAAAAAAAACCCAAAAAATCAACAGTTTGAAGTTGTGGTATAGAATGAATCCTACGCAGCATTTACCAACCGATCTATGAACTGAAGTACCTGACTACAAGAGCAGAAGATAGTTCTCCATTTGTGCAGAATTCAAAAGTTCCCAAAATATAAAGGCAAAACCTTTTTTTTTTTTTTAGTTTTTTTCTGCTGCCTGTGTCTCTGCTAGGTGTAGGTATCTTATCTATTTCTCCCGGTGACCATTGCCAAAGAGGGTGAAGGAAAATATATTTTACAGCTGTCACCAGAACTAGAAGTGAAGGTAAATTTTCTGGGGGAAGGGGGGGATTAATATTTTCCTACTTTACTCAAAATGAAAAAAAGTTTGACTATACATACTATTTAAGATAGAACTATAAGCAAAATTGTTTTTCATTTTGGATAGAGGGAGGGTCATAACCGTCAGTTTATTTTTTGCCATCTGTGTCCCATTTGGGAGATTTCCATTCACTCACTACCCCATAGCCAAACAGGAAGTGAGAGGAAATCACTATAAATGAAGGGAATCCCTTGGGAACCCCCTGCCTAGCAAAACTAGTGTCCTTATTGGAAGATATTCCCTCTATTCCTTTTCTGGTGACAACCCAAAATGTGGGATTTTTTTTTACTTTCACTTTCAATGATAATGGCAAACAGGATAAATAGAGAGGGTGAATCTCCCGGGGGCACAGACAGTAATAAAAAACTGACAGGTGTTCTAATCCCTCTCCACTCTATCCAAAATTTTAATACATTTTGCCATTAGTTGTACTATATGTGTGTTAGTACACTTGTATGGTTTCACTGCCATGTTGGAACAGGAAGGGGCCATCCCCAAAAGTTGGGAGCATGAAATTGTCCAAAATGTCTTGGTATGCTGACACCTTAAGAGTTCCCTTCACTGGAACTAAGGAGCCAAGCCCAACCCCCAGAAAAACAACCCCACACCATAGTCCCTCCTCCACCAAACTTTACACTTGACACAATGCAGTCAAGATTGTGCATTGGCAGTCAGGCATTGACTCTAGTAAAGAACGAGTAACTCTGACATACAGGAGTAAAGTAGTGTAAGGGTGAAAAGGATAAAAATTATAACATGTATAAAGTAAAAGATGATAATGGCAATATTGGCATACAAGTACTTAAAACAGGGTATGTACTGTAAATGCATTGGTGTACAATAAGTCCTTATAAGAGTCTCTCAGGCAATTTGCCTGGAATCTTTTTAGCACAAAAAGACGGCAGCCATCCTCGGAGCAAGCCAGCTCTGTATGCAGGGACAGAAGAAAAGAGACAGGAGTCGCTCGTCTGAGTGTAGTAATAACACTGTATTTAATAGCAAAGGATTAAAAACACTCACAAAGGAAGTAATAAAACAAGCTCATCTGTGTATATGAGAGATGACTATTCCTCAAAATGTCCTGTGGGTGCCACCTGCGGTTATGGAAATAGCAGCTGGGCTGATGGAGATGGTAAGAGACACTGTAGTGGTCAATCCTGCAGAGTGGGGGTGTTGTACAACCAATCCAGTGGTGTTTGTGCAGGAAGGAGCCTAGTAATCAGCCTGGAACACATCGGCAGGATGTGATGTCACAGGAAGAGGCGGAGGGTCAGTGGGGAGGAACAGCACAGACGTGGGAAAGTCATTCTACGAGCTCGGAGGCTCTAGCTCCTTCTGTTGGCCTGGTGGACCTTGGGGAAGTAGCAGCTTAAACAGAAGACACTGTTAGACGAGGAACAACAGTGGTCGGTCAGCGGAGATTTAAAAACACAGTAACATGGAAAAACCGCATATCAATGTGGGACATGATCTCAAAGCACAAAGCTATAAAAAAAAAAAAAATAATAAAAAGAGAGCACTGAACCATAAAACAAAAAATTATAAAGGATATGTATACTATATATAACAGTGTAGACATACTGCTATTAGCAATGATAATAAAAATGGTAATGAACGTAGAATTGCATACGGTAGTGCCAATAACATGGCAAAAAGGTGTAACAAAAAGAAACGGGGTAATGAAAGCGGGGGCACTGCAAAGAGAGGGTGGGGAATGAAAAGTCATATGACTATGTACGCATGTCAGTATATGCACATCTCTGTATGGAAGATGCGTTGCTAGGATATACATTAGGGTATTAGCGGAGGAATGGACAGATGATTATAATATAATATGTATCTCGATCTCCTCAATAAGTCTTCCTGGGGCTAGGGTGTCTAAGGTGTAGATCCAAGATGTTTCATATTAGCAGAGGTGCTTAAAATGCTCTGCCACTGAGGGTAATGGGGGAATGTGTTCCAGGATCCACACGAAGATCCCAGTGGTGGATTTGTCATGATGTTCTGTGTAGTGTCTAGGGACACTGTGCTTATCAGAACCTGCTTCAGTGAGGCGTCTATGCTCGCCAAATCATTTACTTAGCGTTCTGATGGTCCTCCCTACGTAAAATAACCCACATGGATATGTTAAACAGTAGATAACAAATTCGGTGGAACAGTTGTAAAATTCCTTTATGGGGAAGGTTTACCCTTTGATGGTGAATGTTTTCTGACCATGTTGAATGAAGGAGAATTGTAAGCACAATGCCTTTTTACATTGGTACATCCCAACCAAAGGGATCAGTGTAGTGTGTGGTTTGGGATTGGAAATGCACTTCATTTTACTGGTTACTATATTGCTTTTAATGTTTCTTGCCTTCCTGTACGAGACTTTGGGACAATTGGTGATGGATGTGTGCAGGAAGGGATCCTGTAGCAGTATGGACCTGTGTCTACGTAGAATGTTCTCCATTTTCTTTTATTGAGCATGAAATTGTGTAGTGAAATGTATGGGTTGTACATTGACGTGTGGGGTGGATGGGTTAGGCTTACGAGCGGATCGCATATAAGAGGGGCAGGATATCCCTTTTCTAAGGATTTTTTATACTATACTATAGTTGGGACCCACCTACTTGTGGGTCTCACTAGATGTCACCTTTCTGTATAGTTCGATACCCCATGAGATCCCCCCATTCTGATTTCCCATGAGGTGGGTCTCTGAGCCATTCAACATTTTCTAGCAGAGGATCCCCTCATAAATCCAAGACAGGCACAGTTCATTCTGGAGGCCACTCAATTCTGCTTATAACACAATTACTTTGAATTCAAAGGAGAGTTCTTCCTACAGAGGAATGGCACAGCTATGGGAGCAAACTTTACCCCTAGTTATGCCAACCTGGGTTTCTGGGAATACCAGCATATAACCCTCGAACCCCTCGTGTATTGTATTGTATTGTTACTATGCTGTCTCGAGTACTGTCTCCCATTATAATGTACAGCACTGAGCAAAATGTTGGCGCTATATAAATACTGTATAATAATAATAATATAACCCATAACAATCCATTTGCCTCCCATAACGTGTTCTATGTAAGATACATAGGTGATATAGGGATCATATGGGATGGCGCTCCCCAGCCTGTTGACTCCTTTGCACAATGCTGCAATCAGAACCACCTTGGACTATCCTTCACCTATGTAGTAGATCCCCACACCCTTGCCTTCCTTGCACACCTGTACACCTTTGTCACGACAATGAAAACATGTTCTCAAAAAACTATGTCAAACCCACTGCCAGGAACTCATATATTCACTTTCACTTTCAGAACTGTAATTACCCCCGCTGGGTGAAAAATATCCCAAAAAGTCAATGTTGCCGGTTATGAAACAACTGCACCAGAGAGGCAGACTACATCAGCCATAGAGACATCTTAGCCAAAAATTTTTTAGAAAAGGGATAGCCTGCCCCTCTTATATGTGACTGTTTTCAACATTATCTAGAGAGATCAGCTCGTAAGCCTAACCCATCCACACCTGACGTCAACATACAACCCATACGCTTCACTACACAATTTCATGCTCAATACAAGAAAATGGAGAACATTCTACGTAGACACTGGTTCATACTGCTACAGGATCCCTTCTTGCACACATCCATCAGTGATTCTCCCAAAGTCTAGTACAGGAAACATTAAAATAGCCACCAGTAAAATGAAGCGCATTTCAAATCCCAAAACCATGCACTGCACTGATCCCTTTTGTTGGGATGTAGCAATGTAAAAAGGCATTGTGCCTTACATGCTCCTTCATTCAACATGGTTAGAAAACATTCACCATCAAAGAGAAAACCTACCCCATAAAGGAATTTTACAACTGTTCCACCAAATATGTAATTTACTGTTTAACATGCCCGTGTGGGTTATTCTACGTAGGAAGGACCATCAGAACGCTACATAAACGCTTTGGTGAGCATAGATGCCTCATTAAAGCAGGTTCTCATAAGCACAGTGTCCCTAGACACTACACAGAACATCATGACAAATCCACCACTGGCTCTTCATGTGGGTCCTGGAACACATTCCCCCATTACCCTCAGTGGCAGAGCATTTTAAGCGCCTCTGCCAATGTGAAACATCTTGGATCTACACCTTAGACATGCTAGCTCCAGAAGGGCTTAATGAGGAAATAGAGAAACACATTATATTATAATCATCTGTCCATTCCTCCAATACCCTAATGTCTATCCTAGCAATGCATCTTCCATACAGAGATGTGCATATACTGACATGCGTACATAGTCATATGACTTTTCATTCCCCCCCTCTCTTTTCAGTTCCCCCCTGCTTTCATTACCCTGTTTCTTTTCTTTACACCTTTTTTCCATGTTATTGACACTACCGTATATCCAATTCTACTTTCATTACCATTTTTATTATCATTGCTAATTGTCTACAACATTATACATCCATATCCCTCATAATTTTCTGTTTTATGGTTCAGTGCTCTCTTTTTATTATTATTTATTTTTTTATAGCTTTGTGCTTTGAGATCATGTTCCACATTGATATGTGGTTTTTTCCATGTTACTGTGTCTTTAAATCTCCGCTGACCACTGTTGTTCCATGCCTGACAGTGTCCTCTATTTAAGCTGCTACTTCCCCAAGGTCCACCAGGCCAATAGAAGGAGCTAGAGTCTCCGAGCGCATAGACTGACTTTCCCTCGTCTGTGCTCTTCCTCCCCACTGACCCTCCGCCTCTTCCTGTGACATCTTATCCTGCTGGTGTGTTCCAGGCTGATTACTAGGCTCCTTCCTGCACAAATGCTGCTGGATAAGCTCTACAACACCAACACTCTGCAGGATTGACCACTACAGTGTCTCTTACCATCTCCATCAGCCCAGCTGCTATTTCCATAACCGCCGGTGGCGCCTGCAGGACATTTTGAGAAATGGTCATCTCTCATATACACAGATGAGCTTATTTTATTACTTCCTTTGTGAGTGTTTTTAATCTTTTGCTATTAAATACAGTGCTATTACTACACTCAGACGGAAGCCTCTTGTCTTTTCTTCTGTCCCAGGCATTGACTCTGCATGCGCTGTCATTTTCCATGGCCTACCACTTTGTGGCCGAGTTTCTGTTGTTCCCAGTTGCTTGCATTTTGTTATATTACCACTAACAGTTGACCGTGGAATATTTAGTAGCAGGGAAATATTACGGATGGACTTATGCAGGCCATAGACGGGGAGAAAAATGGCAGATTTTTCTTTAAAAAACGAAAAATCAGTCGTTCAAGCGGCCGACGTTACCATCAATGGTAAAAAAAATCGGCCGATTTTCATCCCGTCTAGAGCCGTCAAAAAGTGTCCCTGCAAAGAGCTCTGCTATTTCTTTGACAGTTCCTTGACATTTACAGCGGTTGCAACATTGTATTTATTTGTTTCCATTTAGGATACAGATGTTTTTATTTGGAAACAAATAGATACAATGTTGCAACCGCTGTAAATGTCAAAGAACTGTCAAAGAACTGTCAAAGAAATAGCGGAGCTCTCTGCAGGGACACTTTTTGCTGGACTGGAATTCTTCTTATTTTTCATCCTACTTCTTCTTCTTCATCCTCATCCTCTTCTTCTGCTTCTTCTTCATCCTCTTCTTCTTCTTCATCCTCTTCTTCTTCTTAATCCTCATCCTCTTCTTCTTCATCCAAATCCTCTTCTTCTTCTTTTTCTTCATCCTCATCCTCTTCTTCTTCTTCATCCTCATCCTCTTCTTCTTCATCCTCATCCTCTTCTTCTTCATCCTCATCTTCTTCTTCATCCTCATCCTCTTATTTTTCTTCTTCTTCATCCTCATCCTCTTCTTCATCATCCTCATCCTCATCTTCTTCTTCTTCTTCATCCTCATCCTCTTCTTCTTCATCCTCTTTCTTCTTCATCCTCTTCTTCTTTTTCTTCTTTTTGTCTTCCTCTTGCAGGTCACTGCTCATGCGCAGATTTTTTATCGGTAAAAAATCGGCCGATTTGCCCATCATTGCCGCGAAAATCGGCCGATTGGAAAAATCGGCCGATTTTTTTTCCAACTTTACCAAAAAAAAAAAAAAATCTGCCAAAATACCGAAAAAACGGCTGACCAAATAGCCCACTAACGATCCGAAAATCGGCCGATTTTATTTTCGGCCGAAAAAAAAATCGGCCGATTTTCGACCCATCTATGGCCTGCATTATTGTACAGGTGGCAACCTATCACAGTACCAAGCTTTAATTCACTGAGTTCTTGAGAGCAACCCATTCTTTCACAAATGTTTGTAGAAGCAGTCTGCACGCCTAGGTGCTTGATTTTATACACCTGTGGCCATGGAGGTGATTGGAACACCTGAATCCAATGATTTGGAGGGGTGTCCCAATACTTTTGGCAATATAGTGTGTGTGTGTCTATATATATATATATTAAACCAGCACATTAGTACTATCTATCTATCTAAATCATATGTACATACCATTACATATGCCAGATAATGTCACAGTGGGCTAGGTGAGATGACACCATCATCATCCTTTTCCTGTCACACCTTTATTATTATGTGTTTTTGTACAATAATGTGCACCTGTCATGAGTAAATTCTATAGAATGTCAAGACTGACCTCGCCTTTTGAGAATGCTACTTCCCTGGCTCCCATTATATTATTGCACTGTATTCAACTAGAATACAGAGTTTCTGACAATTACTTCTACCATGCTTTGCCTGGGTATGTGAATCAAAAGTGTTGACGGTAGATATAGCCAGATAACTAGCGTTTTCAAAGGGAGGCTAGCAATAGTAGCTCCCACATTTCTGACATATACTTTAAGGAACCTAGCTGACAAAAAATGTACAAACCTGCTTCTTTGTCTATGCATGTAAAGAATGTAGCAGTATGACATTATTATCTATGTGAATTACACCATTTGTTAACATCTATGTAGTACAGTGTATGTTAACATACTGCTTTGTACTGCTGGTGTAAATGGGGCCTTATTGTGACTCCAGCGTATAACACAGGTCATAAGAAACTTTGCAAGCTTACCAATAGAAGCTCAAATACCAACTATGTCAATGTTCTTTCTTTGTGTGGCCATGTAGGTTGAAAAAGCTGTATTTTCTGCTCTCAGGGCATTTACCCCCTTGGGTCTCCTTGTCTATACTAATTAGTTAAAGTCCAACTGAACTTTCAGGTTAAATGAGTTAAATATATTTCAAGTGCATCATAACAAAAGGTGTCAAAAGTCTTACCTTTTGTTTTATTTAAAAGCAGTCACAGATTGAGTAGAAAAGCCCATCCTCTTTTAGAATGTTGCACAGAAAGTCCATTGCTTTCTGTGTGGAAGCAGTAATCTCTCTGCAGAAGTCTGACATGTATCCTACCATCAGACCTATAGCAAAGCTCATGCTCCCAGATGATTGGATAGCTTTAGCCATGACTCAGCAGGAGGCATGCCGCGTCTGTGCAGAGAGATGACTGCTTTCATATTGAAAGTGAGGGTCCTTCTCTGCAGAATGTTGGTAAGGGTCATGCTTTTCTACTCAGTCTGGGGCTGCATTCTCAAGAAAACAAACTATAAACCTCTGTAAACCTTTTGTTGTGATGCTTTTAAAATATATTTACTGGATTTAAAATGACGGTTAATTTGGGCTTTAATGTAGTATAATGCCATGACTACAATGTAGAAGAATCTATTATGGATCACAGCTGTGTATTCAGTGCCATCCTGGGATAGTCCTATGCTTACCTGTGGTGGAGGGCGCCCCCCAGCACCCTCAGGACATTCGGGCAGCATTATCAGCTTATTCCTTGTACTGCAGGTGCAGGAAGGGGATGGATTATTCGGAGTCCATTCGTGAGATAACAGAATGTTGGTTACGCTTGGTGACACAGTAGGGATGATCCATTCACTAGAGATGTTTTTACAAGGGAACTTTTTACTGGGAAAAATAAACACAAAGCAGTAGATCATTATGGGGACTATAATTAAAATTACAATAAAGATGATATTGATCGTTACTATTATTTTAAACATGTGAGGTATTGTATGTTTATGATACAATCCACCACACTGCCAAAAATAGTGAAATGTAGACATTCCTTCTAATAGTAAAAATAATAATCATCATCAGCAGCATCTTTTCTCTTCATAGCCTTAAACATTGCTATAAAGCCTAACATGCACTCAAAAGTAGGCATTATGAGACAGCTTTACTATAAGATTAAAACTTGGTCAAACCTATCACCATTGCTTTGCTAATGTTGGCCATACATGGATCAAAATTTAGCCGTTAAGCAGGGACCAGCTGAAGTTCGATGTGTGGCCAGTACCAGGGGCGGACTGACAACTCATGGGGCCCCCGGGCAATAGGGGATCATGGGGCCCCTGTGTCCTTGCCCAAACTCAAAAAAGCCTATGAAAAAGGTACCAGGGGCATCTCATGACCTACTGACCCTGGGCCCTCGGGCAGTGCCCGAGTTTCCAAATGGTCAGTCCGCCCCTGGCCAGTACAGTTGAACAGAAGTCATCTACTGATTGACTTCTGTTTATCCACCCTGTCAGATAAAAGCCATTCTATTAGCACTCCAGGCATAATGCTGCAGCACTGATCTGTGTATTATGACAGCAGGGAAGTCTCTACACCAGGGTTTCTCAACCAGGGTTTCATGGAACTCTAGGGTTCCCCCACAGATTACTAGGGGTTCCTTGAGCAATCAGCAATTTCTGCCTCTCAGATATGATCCTACTGACACCATTGATCTTTTCAACCATCTGTAAGGGGGGTAATTCTTCCCCATGACCACAAGTGTAAGGAGCATTATTCCCACTGACCATCTCACCAATGTATCATGAGTTATAGATATAGTCATTTTTAGTAGGGGTTTCCTCAGACCAAAAAGTTATTTCAGGGGTTCCTGGTTGAGAAAGGCTGTTTTACACTATCAGAATACCTTATAGCAGTGAAAATGGGGGAATCAAGTCAATATTTTTCATTCAAATCGCTGGCTGAACAATAAATACTGAACCATGTATGGCCAGCTTTAAGGCAGCTGTGTTTGTGCTATACAACATATGTATCCAATTCTGTTGGGAACTTCCTTGTTTCCCTAAAGCTATAAAAAAAAACACAGGTGTGAGACAGGAATCCTGCCTTGAACCTTCTGCTGTGATGCAACTTGACATTTGGCTTATCTCAAATCAAAGGTTTACTTGTTTTTTTATTACAGTTACTTATATAGCGCTGTCAATTTACACGTGCTTTACATATATATTGTACATTCACATCAGTCCCTAACTTACATTCATACATACAAATACTAGGGACAATTTAGACAGGATCCAGTTAACCTACCAGCATGTTTTTGGAGTGTGGGAGGAAACTGAAGTACCCAGAGGAACCCAGAGGAAACCCACGTAGGCACAGGGAGAACATACAAATTCCAGGCAGGTGGAGCCGTAGTTGGGATTCAAACCCTAGTATTGAAAGGTGAAAGTGCTAACCATTTAGCCACTGTGTTATTAACTATTTTTTATTACTGACTCCCAATAGATTGCATGGTATGTCATCATACCCCCTTCACCAGACTGTCCATATCATTATTATCAGTCCTAAAAGGTACCAGAATGACATAAAAAATGTCAAGGGCTTGGTTTTACTCTATATAGGGATAGCTAGGAATGGAAAATCACAAACACATAAGTGAGATTTTTGCTTTTTTATGTGCAACCTACATGGAATGAAGGTACAGTTAGTGACAATGTTACTGGCATGGCATCTGATACATCAAGCCAATTTCTCACAATTTATTTCAATAATGTAGAGAATCTTGTTATTGAATTGTATTCTCATTTTTCAGAGATCTAGTGCTATGTCTTCATCATGACAGACAAACTAAATTACTTTAATCTCACCAAATGCAGGTTTGGAAAGCGCAATATGGAAACTCTGGCATGTGCCAGGGAAAACAATATTTTTAATGGGCTCGTCTCAGCTTTCATTTAAAAAGGAAAATGCATTTTGGATGCATTTTTTAAATTAAACTTATAACATATTGCACCACAGCAGCCACAGGACTTACTCGTCACATAGAAAGTCACCTGGGTTGATAAATCTCACCTTTCTTTCATAATCTGCCCTTATGCAATTAATGTTTGCCATAAAATCCTAAATCCTGGCTAATCCTCTCCTGTTTGTGTACTTATAGAGATAAATGAACACCCCTTACGTCAGTGGCTGGTCTTTCATGCAGCGAGTTCCGAAGCCAGGACTATTCAGGAAGGCATCTGTAATTGGTACCACTTGCTCACTGCCGGGGTGCTCGTTACTATAACATATGAGATGGAGGAAAATATCAAACATTTTCTTCAACAGACAGTATTCAGGACATCTAAATACACCTGATAAATAGCAGTAGAATGGAATAAGCTGAAGTGTGCTTGGTGCAGAGCTCTTAAAAGATGCTGAAGTGACTCATCTTGGAGTAGAGTCAGCATCTTATATACTGGGACTCTTGGGAAGCTGCAATGTATTTTAAATAATTAATTAGTGTTTTAGCACAATATATTGTTAGGGGCATTTATGCATATGCATTGTACTTATATTGCCCATGAGGTTTACTGCTTTACAAGCTGTAGAGAAAGGTCCTAGAGGGTGAATTTTGTTATTTTTTCATAGACTAGTTACTTATGTAATAATTTTTACTAGGGAGACACTTCACACTGCTGACCTGATGTCAGTTGTAAACTACTATATTCTACAATTACTTAAAAATAGTGATATTTCTCAATAGTGATATCTGATGGTCAGGGTCAGTTACTGGCTTCTTAGGTTGGTCATAGACAGAGCAAATTTCTTTCTTGTAACCACGGATTGCAGGACAGAATTTTGCTCCATCCTCCCATCAACACAGACAGTTTTGACAGGGGAATCGCTCCTGGGTAGCCAATGTGTTCTACCAGTGGGGAGTCAGGGGAAGCCTTTTCTACCGAGAGAAGAAAGTGATTATTGCTAGCGGCTATAATAGCCGCTAGCGATAATAATATATAAAATCTGGCAGGCTGCTTGTACTCAAGTAGATCCTGCTGAATCAGCTGATATTCGAACCATGGCCAGCTTAATGCATCTTGGGAAACCCTCATTCAGTATGTTTCTACTCCCCCTTGTGCATTGTCTGCAAAAGATTTCTCCAGTGGACTCCCAGAGACAATCAAGATGTTATGGTTTAATACTCTATTGTCTACAAAAAATTTAAATACAGGAGATGCTTTGGGTGGACAGACCCTTTGAAGTGTGACCTTGCTTTTGGTCCAAAGGCCAATCATCATATTCTGAAGCATACAACCACAGCTGATCTAAGATATTACAATAGTTTTCTACAGTGCAAACTGGAACATACTAGAGGAAGAATCTATTGACTATTCTACTCAATTCTCTGACCTGAAGAAAATAAACTGTTGTCCGTAGATCCATGGGTGAAGTGTTAAGCTGGGGTATTCTCCAAAGGGGGGTACAATCAAAGTAAACACTAGAGCCAGCAACACAAAGCTGGCAGGAAGCACAATCTGCAGGAAGTAAAGGTATTTGCATGTATGTTCAGCTCCAATCATTATAAGAGACAATGATGTGGTAAGTTGGGAAAGAACCATCAAAGGGCTAACAACATAATATACTGTACAATTCCAATCCTTTGTTTCTAATCTAGAACTTATGTTGGTCATACATAGATTGCTCTTTCATTTGACAACACAAAAAACAAAGTTTTGAATATTTTCCACAAAATCAGCAAACACCCTGGGATAGAAATCAATTATTTATCTTTCAAATACATTTATCACAAGAAATTCCAAAACAGATCTTTCTCATAAAAAAAATCTTATCTACTTCTTTACTGCACAGAAGAGCACATTTCTGGAACTTTAACTTCAGATTTCAGAAAATCTTTCAGAGATTCATAGGGTATGTGCTGACATCCCCTTAGCCTCTAGAAAAAAAAGTTTCCAACAGGAAGGCAGACCACACATACAGACAAATCAAACGTCCACTGCCTGATCAGCACAGGGAAGGAGCAGTGTTTATATCACCTGGTGATTTAGCATCCTCTGAAATTGTATGGAAGTATAGAAACCTCTGTGAAGTTTTTTATGAATGTTTCCCTTTTACCCTCTGAATACGTCCTAGTGACCATTGGGACAGAAATTGATGGAAGATCCAAAATTTTGCTTCCAACCCCAGTATGCATGATGTTTAATTTCATTATCAATAATGGAAACAATTATGATGCATGGGAGGAGGGTGTTAAACATATTATTTGCTCCAGGTGTCAGATAGGTTGGGTACACCCCAGGGTCCAAAACAGGATGGAAACCCCCTTGGCTCTTCTTCTAATGTGCCCACGAAAGGGCTGTACAAACTAAGTTTCCCGAAAAAAAGTACATATTACAAAATGGTGTGACTATGTCTGGCTTGAAAGATGCTTGAATGAAAAAGTTGATAAATTAGGTGATGGCAGTATACACAGACAGTGGAATGGATCTGAATTTGCCATATAAGCTTAACTTTGGCAAATACAACTTTCTTTTTCAATAAAAAGGATTTATTGGGTTTTTAAAGTTCTGGGGAGTATATACGATTATGAAGCTTAACAATATAGTGGGGTAAATACAACTTCCTAGGCATTAATAGATTCATGTATTTGAGCTCAGTTGTCAACCAAAATAAAAAAAGGAGTATTATAGAATTGAATGCTTCTGTAACCTTAGCCTGTAAATGTTATCATGGTCTTCTGCACTTTATGAAAAACACAATTTTGTCAAGAAAATCCAATGCCCATCTTTATAATCCACATATTAGACCTGTAACTTTATACAAAGGTGAAACCAGCGCACTCTGAAAACAAAATTAAGTTCAGTTTGGGCTTTTGAGTGGAAAGTCCAACAAATATGTATGGCACATATGTGCTTACTTGAAAGAGAGAAGTTATGCCACTGAAGCTGGCACCATTGTGAAATGTATGAGTTGTTGATGAGTATGTTGGTTTTGTTGTAAAATTTGGGAAGTTAAATTTATTCATTAAGCCTCGGGCAATGATGGGTCATGTCATCTGATGGATAAAAACAACCCTGATCTTCTAGCTTAACCTGGAGAAATTCATCCAAAAGGAAGGCCTAAACTATAATTGGAAGGGGGGATTCAAAATTATGGCAAGGATAGGGTGTCGAAATTGGAAAGCATTCATGTTCAACCAAAGAATGCCATAAACTCTTGAAGAAGGCTGACTCTAAGCTGTAATGCCAATGGATGGACAAATAGGCCAATAGCATGTGTAATGCTTTTTGAAGATGCCAATCATTAGATGTAACACTGTGTTAGTTCTGAGTAAGGCATTGGGAATTTGGATTTGCCTGCATCTGAGGTCTGTGGGGGAGATTTACTAAAACTGGTGCGCTCAGAATCTGGTGCAGCTGTGCATGGTTCCCAGTCAGCTTGTTCAATTAAGCTTTGACAAAAAAAAAAACCAAAACTATAAGCTGATTGTTTTTTGCACCAGATTTTGCACTTTCCAATGTTATTACATAACCCCCTGCACTTCTAATAGAGAATCTAGTATGAAGGTTGGAGGGTTTTTTTTTTTTATTAAGAACACTTACCCTTTAAGTTATTTTAATTTTAAAACAATATCTAGCATGCTGTAAGATGTATTCAACTAGTTCCAGGATTTCTAATAATTAATTTTCATTGTTTACTATCTAGCTGACAAAATTAGACAATGTATGGCCAGCATTACTAAAACAAACTATCAGTCAGTTTTATTCTTCATGATTTATGAAGGATAATGAGTGTAATTACAATATTAAGCATCCTATGTAAGTCAGTTGGCAATTATCATTTTTGTTTGCAATACAGAGAGACAGTCTATTGTGAACTACATGTTTCATTATTTAAGGCCATAAACATTACCTGGGCAAAGAAATCTTTGTGACTGCGTGTAGCATGCTGGAAGCGCTTAATTATAAGTGCCTTAAACTGCTGGTTCATAAGATCTGAGCCTTTGATTTGACGAGATCCTTTGCCATTTGTTACAGTAGGAGCAGGTTGTTCATTGCAGGCTTTGGATGCAGGTGGGACATTTTCTGCACCAACTCTCTGAGATTCTCTTCTGATATCTGATGGTTGGTCTGAGATTAGCAACAGTATTAAAATGTATTTATGCAACAAAGTAATCATGTTAATATATCACAGCAATCTTTTCAGACAAAGTAATTGCCTACTTAGATTGGATCATTATTTTTCAGTATTGGCAATCTGAAGTCTCAGTGTGTGTCTTTTGGAGCAGATAAAGTAGCTGCCTGATAGGGTTAGACTGCATTTTTATGGCCTATGTTAGTGTTAGGGATTATGTTAGCATGGGGTTGGGGTCAAGTTAGGCAGTTTTAGGTTAAGTGCTAGGGTTCAGGGAATATTTTAAAGTTATCTGATAAATTAAGGGTTAAAAGTTATCTGAGCTCATGTGTTTGGTTTAAAGCAGAGCCAGATCACCCACAAGGCAAACTAGGCAAAAGCCTAATGGATGTACAAGGGACCCATCTACAATCTTCAAGTTCTTGCAACAAGCATGGGAGACAGGACATTTTGTCATCTTCCTGTTGTGTCCCAAAGCAGAATGCGATTGTAGGCAGTTGGTGGTTGATGGAGTGATCTTTGCCAGTGAGGAGCTTCCATGTGCCTAATGCAGTTCTCGTCAAATTTAATTCAGTGGATGGATGATCCAAAGCTGATACCTTGCCGAAAGTACTGGACTTAACGTATATACAAAGCAAAAGCTTTCTTTTTTCATTTTGAATAGAGTAGGTGAGGGTTAGAACCTCTATCAGGCTTTTATTGCTGTCTGTAACTCTCCTTGGGACACTCACTCTTTCTGTTTGTCCTGGTGACTATTGCTGCTACTACAGAAAGTTAAAGGAGATCCAAAAATTTGGAGTTGTTGCAGAAACAAAAGGTAAAGGGAAATCTTTCAATGGCAAACTGTTCTGGTTACAATTGTCTAGGACAGGATATTGTCTTGCTTTGGAAAGGTCTATCTTCCTGCTGTGTGTCTGGATATAGGAGATCCAGACATACAAAAGAAATAAATAAATAAAACCTGAGAGTGGTCTTTTCTATTTTCTTTCCTAACCAAAACTAACAAAAAACAGAACTAAAAAAACTAAAAAGTTTTGGCTTTACAGAAGCTTCAGAATTTACAGAATCCAATATATTTATTAGGGTTAGACAAAGGGTCTGAATCAACAGGCTTTTCTTCACTTTAAGAAGGATTTGCACTCCCATACAAGTCTATGGCAATAGAAAACCCCCTTTATGCAGGTCAAATGCAGGTTAGGAAGAAGCCAACTGAAGGTCAAATGTACCCATCCCTAAATTCTGAATTATATCAAATTTGTTTCAAACTGATGTCAAATTGATGCTCAACGTTAAGGACTTAATTTAAGGGTGAGAGAAAGTTTTAATGTTGAGGTTAGGGCCAGGACTCAGTCAAATGTGAAGGTCTACTTTGGATAATGTTCGATTTTCACACGCCTTTAGTGGTGCTGAAAGACCCACACTGAGAGCAAACAGCGCTAGGCTTTTGACAGCAACATTTATTGCAAGGATTTTAGGCATTCTGAAGCTCTAAACTACAAATAATGATCAACCCAAGCAATCTAAACTAAACCCAAGCTACTATTTGCTTTATATAAAAAAAGAAAACCTTAAGCATTGTTTCACTTAATCTGTGTCCATGGCTAATGGTAATGTAACCATTAGACACAGTAGGCCTGTGCTTATGAGCAGTAGAGGGTAAGGTGATCCTGGCAGAGATGTGTTGCTTTATGCACCAAGGATGTGTGCCTACAGGCTCCAGTGATAGAAATCGGGCCCTGGCTGTGCTATATGGGTATGGAATACATTATAGTAAATAAAACATAATAAGCATCATGCTCTTTAGTACAGCTTTACATAATGGCTGTAGTGGAGTGCCCATTTACTTACCATTCTCAATTGCAGGCACATGCAATTCTTTTCCCACAACTCCCTGGTTTTCAGGACAGGCACATGGAAGATATGATTTCTGTTTTCCTCCCTCAGCATCAAACAAAGGACACAACTAATGAGGCAGAGGTAGTACAGCAAGTGATCTGCAGCCAGGTAAGAGAACCTCCACTGTCAGAACCAGTCTAATTGCTACCAGAGTATTCCAGTTCAAGTGGGTGGTCCTTTATCTTTGGATCCCTCCAGCTGTTCACAGGGGCGCATCTCCCGCAAGACAAACAAGGCGGTTGCCTTGGGCAAAATTTTTCCAGGGAGGGTGGCGCCACACCCCCGTAAGAAGGGAGTCAGGTGACTGATGATAGGCACCAGGTGAGGCACTACATGGGATATGAGAGAGGCTGTGGGAGGGTGCAGGCAGAGGCCAAATGTTGTTCCATATACCCGGCTGAGTGCACCACACAAGGACAATGCTGGCCTTTCCTGATCATGTCTCCGGTGATGGCCGGCTGGTTTCATGCAGGAGAGCTGTGAAGGTGAGTGCTGGAAGAACGTCTCTCTCTCCCGCGCCTCATATGGGAAGGGGGAGGGGTTTCAAAACTTTTTAGTTGCCTAGGGCAGCACAAAATCTAAATACACCATTGGCTGTTCACATACTGTATTTTATCAGAGCTTCTCTGGACTCCACTGTACGAAATGCTGTTTATGAAGGTAATCACAAGTAGCTGTTTGTGCTTTGTACTGTTTTAATGAAGTAGTGATTCTCAGTGAGTCACAGAGGCATTGCTGTAGGGAGTCTCTAGTTGTGCAGAGTTCATTATGCTGCAGTGCATGCATGTTTTTTTTTTCATCCAGAACCTGTTTTGCATTATTGCTTCAAACTTTGTATCTGTTCAGTAAACTGCAAGTTATAGTAACTCTCTGTCTGATCATTCTGCAAATTGCCCATCCTGTTAAAGATCATAAAAGATGATGGCAGTGCACCCAACAAATTATCTGCCAGTGAATTAGTCACTGAATGGGTTCATTTTTTTGGTTACCTTTAAAATAACTCTTTAACTCCATGGCAGCATATGAATGTGCGAAGTATACCCATTCATATGCTGCTATGGAATTAATCTGGAAAGGAAAATTACGCTAAGTATTTAGTAACAATTTTCTTTTGTATTTACACAGTTTTGCTCGCCCAGAATTGTGTCTGGGTTGGTTTCTTAGTTATAGTAATTACACATAAGAGTAAAGGAACATCAACACCTAGGAATGGCATATTGAAACAACAGAATATTTAGGAGCTGTTTTGGGTGTAGTCATTCCCCAAAAGTTTAACAATCTAACCCTGGTTTCATTTGATCTAGAGCATCTTTGGACAGCAAGCAAGCTACTGCATCTAATTACATCCCTTACATAGACAATAATTAGCCGTGAAGTAATGTCTCTTTCCAACATATAGATGTATGCTTCAACGACCATGCAAGAGAAGCAAAAGCAGGAAATGAAACTAGTATACTTAGTAAAGAAGGATTTTGTTTCAGGTACCAGATAAGGATGGGTAACCTAGGGAATGTCAGGCATTTTATAAACCATTTGCTTTTTGAACATTATTGACTCTGCTAAAATTGTATATACAAAACACCTACTTTATTTAGTTTAGCTTTATTCTGACGGCATGTTGTACTTCTTCAATATGACTTATGTTAATTTTTACAAAAAATTAGTGTAAAAAAAGTATCTTGTGTTGACTTTTGAGCTTTTCACAATGTTTGAAAACCTCTTTTGTGGCCCATTTATCAAGATGGCCTATAGAAATATTATTAAGTTGAGAATGAGCCAAGGTTTTAATTTTTAGTCCGATAGTATTCATATAAATGGGAATATCTCTCACGTTTTCTGCCACATCAGATGTATCATTGTCCTTTGTATTTGTGGCCTGGAGAAGCTTTATCTTGCAGTCTAGAACAGTCTAGAACTGGTGACTTTGTAATCCTATTCCTTGACTACCTCCATCATCCCTGCTAAAGATGTGGAGATTGTAAGAAAGTTTGAAAAATTGGCACCAAGATCTATTGCAAGGCAAAATTTAACTAAGTGTCATAAAGTCATAGCAGGCATGGGTTGCTACAACTCTTTCTCAGGTTATCCAGAATTTCAGAATCATCATATGGTCAATCAAAGCAATATTAATCTGTGGGTTTTTTTAAAACCCTGATCAATAAAAGCATGTGATAAATTTTAAAGCTGACTGCTTAAATTTTTAGCATTAGCAAAGACATGCATAACAAGCTCAATTCCTCATCTTATAAAATATAAAAAGACTGCAAACCAGGAGAAAATATGTGCAGAAATACTGTAACTCTGTGGACAGTATTGGATAGCACTGTAAACCTCATTCACTTGATAATGCTTGTGTTTATACATGAGTCTAAGCACGTGTTCAACTTTTAAAGCAAGTATCAAGATGGAGACATCGAGTCTCTAATTAGATACATTTTTAATGGAACAAGTGATTGTTGTCTGTGCAAATCAAGGCTCTAGACATTCCTATTATTTTACCCATCATTATTCTGCCTGAGTCACCTTTATTTTCAATATTGACAACTGTTGACTTTGGATCCACTGCTAGACTGGTTCTGGACTTCCGCTGTTGTAACATCCATTCCTCTGTTCGTGCATTCAACCAGAAGAAAGTCAAAACAAGCAAATGTTAACAATAGAATCTGAAATAGAATTGCTTAGAGCAGACTGCCTTAAGTAAATGGTTATAAAACCATTGTTGAATGGGCTTGAAGTGAAAATGCTATGCACATTTGAAGGGCCAGCTCTGGAAAGAGCTTTCCCACCAAAATCTCCACACCAACTTACTGTAAATCAGTGTGTGTTAACCAACTACAATCCAAGGAGACTGAGGGGTCTATTTATAAAGCAGTGATTTTCACCAAATATTCTCCGGTGGAGAATCAATCACTGTCATTTAAAACCCATTGATCTGGAAAATTCATTTGCAGAGAATGTTTGTTGAATGATATACACTCTGCTTTAAAAATATGATGCTAAGAACGTGCAGGAAAAAACATGAAGTTGCAAATGGTCTTGCCAAACGAAACGAAGAAAGCTCCTAACTCTGAAATGTTCAACTAGAAGTAAGTTGTCTTAGAAGTCTTGATTTTCATTTGAAACGAAATAGTAAATTAAAGATCCTGGGA